GTTTTGTGTGGTAGCATGCATTCTTACGCTCCGATGTTTCCTGAAAGGCATTCAAATAAATTTTCAGACCAGATAATCACGTGTATGCCAAAGACTCTCCGACAGTTAGTTCACCTCGCCCACTATAACAGCCTACTATAGGTTACACCACAAAAACAAAAAAACCGAGAATTATATAATAGGGGACACTTGGGAATACGAATTATACGAAAAAACATGCATGAAAAAATTATTCCTGTACCTGTGTTGTAGCAAATTATGCCTTATTAAAATTCTACACCTCACGAAACGGCGTCTTTCGGTTTTAAAAAGGTTTCTTAGTTGCCGAATAATTTTGAAACCTACCGACTGCTACCGACTGCTTACACACTGGGCGCTGTGTACGTCCTGAACTTTTACTGAAACCGGAGGGTACCCTTTATTTAAATATAAAATTTAAAGGAAGCGTAAATTTCTACCAAATGAGTACAAAGAAGAATTTTTCGGGCATGTTTTTCATAAAATAGACTTGAATTTATGAAGAGAGACAAAATCAATGATGAGACTGCCTACTACTCAAGTAGCCATGTTGTACATCACAAACTTTTTAGTGGCGTTCAGGAAGAAGCTTGTTGAAAAACCGGCATCGTATCGTGACTTGAGAACAGGGTACGCGATAATCAGTATCTCAATCTGACTCAATGTCCTTTAGCGAGTAAGCATCAATCCTCCATAACTGTCGGCATGTTGCACGAATTTTGAACCATACTGCACGTGTTTGCATCTCCTATCACATCGTGTTACAGTGACGACGGAGAGGCAAATACTAATTGTCGGACACTTCTAACCTCTCCCCTCAGCTATGGATAGGACTAAAAAATAATGTATCGATGTCAGTGCAATCGAACATACGAGTCCCAGGAAGCAAGTGATAAAAGGACGACGCAATCGCTGCGGAAAATATATTTATTCGCCTGACGTTTCGACATCCGTCAGCGTTCTGGTAGCGTTCCGGTAGCGTTTTCTGCTAATGTCTTTGATGATGAATCCGTGACGGATGTCGAAACGTCAGGCGAATAAAAGTATTGTCTCAGCGATCTAATCGTCTTCTTCTCAATGTATCGATGTATTAACACCATCAGCCCTCAGCAAAATTACACTCATTTTTCTGCGCTCCTTTAAATTATTCCATACTCTCAAGAAGGCGGTTTACCCGTTAATCTAACCGTTCATTAGCTGGCGCGTCCGCATGTAGCAGGTAGTGTAAAGACCTTCAGCGAAGTTGAGCTGTGCAATAAACAGGCTTGTAGTGACTAGCCCAACAAGAAATGCACGTGTGAACGGCTGTCGTGACTAGCTCAAGTCGAAGTGCACTGTCGAAAGGCTTGCTGCTTCCGGCCTCTACAACAGCTAATCACAGGCCGACTCACACAGAACTTAATGTGACGACTGCTGAGCTGACCTCACTTCCGAGGCCATCAGCTACGTTGCAGTCATTTGGTAGTCAATTTCCCACGGCCCATTCTTCTATTAATTCTCTGCAGAATATACTCCTTCTAACAATCTAGTTTTCCTAAGGCCTCTCTCCTCTCCTAAAGAACAGGGCCTGAAAGATCGCAGCCGTTAGGGTTAAACATTGGTAGCCTCAACAGCCCTCAATGGGCTCGTGCGTCTGGCGAATAAGCAGTCGCGAACCAGTAGCAACGGTGTTACCAGGGCGCAGAGAACTGAGCTCTGACGCAACGAATGCCTTATAAATGTCCGCAAGGCCCACTGATGCCACTGTGGCATGGCAAGCATGAACCACCAGTACATTGGTTTGCATGTCGCTGCTACTCTCTAGTTAGGTTCATGAGTCAAAGTACTAAATGAGAACACCTCTATTGGAGAATCCAAGCGGCTGCTGGAGATCTAACGAAAATGACGTGCAGACGAAGTAACGACAGGATTTCACGAATTCTAACCCGAACTATCAATAATTAAATCCGAATGAGTCAAAAGAGAATGATACTGCATAAAAGTTGAACAACTTAAATGAGCGTGAGTAAGCCAGCCACGGTGGTGTAGGATGAGTGAGTTCGCCTCAATCAAATCAAAATAGTTCAGACACGAAAATGTGCTAAGATTGTGAAAGGAATTTTATTCTAGCTACTCAGCATAGACTCGTCTGTATCCAAGTTCCACAAGATTCTTCATGGAAAATGTCTACTGAAAGTATTATGATCTATGGTACGGCGTCCACGGGAACCGACACGCTTTGCAACCCTTGTCCAAAACTGGGAGCGAATATTAGTTAAGCTGGACTACTCATCGGGAACAGACTCTTCGTGCTGGAATGTGCGAACACTTCTGGAACCTGATACTCAAAGTCTGACGGCACGCAGTCTCCATCAATACTACGTGGATGTTTGCTGCCCGTCCGAAGTTTGAATCCCCGACTCGAAACAAGCAAATCATGCACTACTAGCCTGTGAACCAATCAACAACCAGATGGCTTAAGTTCGACAAAAGGGTCACTTTAAAAACAATTTTTTCGTCTCTGTGTACGCACCAAAATCAGTTTCCGATCAGCAATATAAGGAGAGCTTCTATTCTCTGCTACAGAAGCTATTTGAAAGACATTCTTGCCGTGATCTCTTAGTTGGTGCCAGGAGCTGGGATGGCCGGACTGGGCCCGGTGACTCGTCTACCTGTCAACGTATTAATCATTATAGGTTTGGCAGTATTGAGAAGACGCTGCACATGGTGATCAGAACCGACTGTTTGTTACAAATACATGATTTCCGCATCGTCATAACCATCTGCTGCACTGGTATTCCGACAACGGCCAGACAGATCGATTACATTCTAGTTGGTTCAAAGTTTTGCAGCTGGGTCTAGGACAGCAGGTCAACAGGAAATGCCGATACTGATAGCCCCCACGCGTCTGACCATATTCTCATTTGCATGATCCTGAAAGTTCACCTCACATCTGTGTCCAAAATGCCACGTGCGGGACGCCTTCAAACCACAAAACTCCGGCAATCCAGCACTACCGAGGCCATGAGCACATAAATCCGGTCCCATCTTGAGACCCAAGCCGACGGCGAAGGCTGCAGCAAATAGTCCCCACAGAAGAAATTCCGTCAGTGGAGCAGCTACGAAAATTCTTGTCTTCACTCAGCAGCGCCGTAGTGACTGGATCAGCGGAAATCCCCGCAGCTGTCTGCTCAGGTGGCTCGAGTCAGGTCTCCTGCTGTAACCGAGTGTGTTCCTGTGTCAGCACCGGTTATGTCCTCCAGTTACGTGTTAGGAAGAGAAGGCAGAACAGGATAACATATAGTACTTTACTGTCAGATGTACTAGTACATCATCTCTGTTTCCTGTGTGTCCAGCGGCTTATCTTCTGTGTCCGTCAGCAGCTTGTGTTCTCTCGTCGTCCCGCCTCGGTAGCAGTCTCTCGTCCAGGGCAAACGAGTCCCGTTCTGCTCGCAACCTCGCTATTTAAGGGGCAGTAGTCGTT